AAAAAAAAAAAAAAAAAAAAAAAAAAAAAAAAAAAAAAAAAAAATAGTGCACGAACGTATTACCCCGCTACATTATTTTTGGGCCTCGTAATGTTTAAAAATTCATACCTCAAACATTCTCTTCGTGACTGCTTTTGGAATAGTCATTTTGCTTCCAACAGGGACGTAGTGTTTGGCTCCTTCTGTGGTTTTTTCTTATTTTCTCTTCTTCATTTTTATAATTTACTTCACTCCTCCCGCAGACAATCTGGAGAACGAGATAGTGCGAGAAGGCGAAAAGCTCTCGGATTTACTATCGATGCCGGTGAAAGACGCCCTGGGCTGCGAGTTGGAGGTGGACTACGAAGGCGATATCATCAACGTCCGAGAGATTCTGGATATGACGACCGCTCGGAGGCAGCTCTTCAGGGACAGCGTCGAGCTCCAAAGACTCACCCTCCAGCAGGTCACCCACATCCACGACTATGAAAACGACGCTACGCAGGTATATTCCAAGCAAATGACAACAAATCTCGTAGATCAATGCATATTGTATCGCAAACAATTCGCAATCTCCGGCAGAGTACAATCTATTTGAATCAGTGAGAACGAAAACACATCAACTCGAGGAAATGAAAATAATGAGGACGCACACAAAACTGCACAGTAGGTGAAGAAGTAAGTCCAAGAAAAAAATTGTTGGTGCCGAAAGACAAGTAATTAAGAAGACTTTAAGGGTCCAAGTTGGAACAGATTCGCTAACTTCAATGACCTTTATGAAAATTGACTGTCCTTAATGAAAATTGAGGATTCCAGAGTTACCGAGTTGGTGTGTTTTCGTTCTCACTGATTCATTTTTGTTGAATAAGAAAATCAAATGGACGTATTTTCTGCCAAACGGAACTATGTGCATTATGACGTGAGCCCTGTTATGCGTATATTCTTATGAGTCTCAGGGCACTTATCTTAATTCACTTAGTTCCGTTTGATAGAAATACGTCCAAATTATTCAAATGTGAAGAAACAATGTAGAAAGTACTGACTATTATGTTGCCGTGCTAAGGAAAAACGTCGTATGAGCATTTGAAAGTTGCTAAATTTCCTCCAGTCATTGCACTTGGACAAGTTGACAGGCATGCAGCATACAATAAAAACAATTTTAAAAAAATTCATAGGAGAATATGTGGCAGAAACTACTTTATTGCATGCGATGAGACAATTTAGCGAGAGCCGGTGAGGGACATAAAAGGTATTAAGGGTATTGGGACCCGCATAAAGCGAAAAAATTTATAAGGATTACCTCTTAAAAATTTCAAGAATGTGTTAATGAATCTGGCTCCTCCTTCCTTCTTAATAGGAATTCATTATGTTTCAAATGAAAGCTTACTATAATTCAGCGAGTGTGTTTCAGGCGGTGCAGTGGTTGGAGGACTTATTTCACGTTTTGCTCAAATCTCATTCCTACGTTGGATCAAACATTTACGAAATTCAAATGCAAAAAGACCGTCTTCAAGCATTCCAAGAAACGGCAAAGGTTCGGTTTTTATAAAATTCCATTTACTTATTGAAGAACAGAATTGGAGACCTATAACTAATCAACGTTTCCAACTGGAAGTAGTATGTCGACGGCGAAAGTCCGCAATCATATATCTCGTTTGCGGTGTCTGAAAATATCCGTCTCTATGTTATTTTTTTAAAGGAGAACAAAGTGACATCACTCCTTGAAGATTTTGCAGAATTTTCTTCGAACAGAGAAGAAAATTAAATCACAGCAGTTTTAAAGAATTGCCGTTGAGTAGTTTTCCGTTTAAAAAATAAAGTATGACAGGAAGTCTGGGACGTCGCGAACAAAGTTATGTGATTGCCGACTTACACCGTCGATATGGAGTGGAGAGTTCTATTTATCTTTACCGTTTGATTTGTAATAATATGATGCGATGCATCGGATATGAGAATGTGAATGAAGTGCGAAAGGGAGAATGAAAAAACAAAGAGAGTAAACTAGTGAACTTATATTATTAGTTTCTCCAAAAAATAGAGAAAGTAGTAATAGTAATATAAATTTATTTTAAAGCGGTGCTTTAGCATCTAAGGCCATTTACACTTTTGTGTGTTCACATAGAAATCAAGGTTACATCAGTAAAAATACAAAAGGGTTGAGGGGAAAGGTTACATTTTGAAAGAAAGAAAAAAAGAAAAGACAGAGAATTTCGTAATTCCTATTTCTTTTTAGATAATTGTATTACCGAAGATTATTATGTTGTTTAATACCCTTTCAAATTTAAATTAATGCATGTAGATTCATACGAGACTTATAGTTCATGTAGTAGTTACGTTATTTTAAGTAACATTTGTTTAAAAAGAAAAGAAGTGCCGTGTTTTTGAAAAAAAATAACTCCTACTCCTGTATTGGCAGGCATCGTATGAGTACGGGTGTCAGCTATTAAATGCCGCGTTGACTTTGCGACAGTCGTGTAAGTTACCGCAAGAGAAGAACGGAGAACTGACGAATAACTTATGGCAAGCCTGGAAGAAACTCAATCTAGTCGGCCAGGAGCAGCTGACTCGTCTCCGTGTCTCAGCCGTTTTTTATAGGACTGTTCAGCAGGTAAGCTATTCCCGAATCTCAAGCATATCAATCGGAAAAAATACGCTTGTCCGTTTTTCCCGAGGCTACGATTGCGCGAATGCCTCCTTTTTTATCGTTTTGGAGATGCATAGGATTGCGCGAATTTTTCTGGTACTGAAAACCCACATGTTTGCGCGAATATTTACCTCTGATTGCAACGTATCACCACTTTTATGTTTTATTTTTATATGTTTTTAAAAAGCTATAAACAGTTTTTCTGAAAAGTCTCCGCGAATTTATCTAAAATGATCTCAAATAAAAGTATCGAAAATTTTGACGCGATGTTTTCGTTCGTTCTACTATCTTTTAATGTAACAAAAAAAACAAACAAAAAAGCAAATATCATCCAAGTTTCCGTATCGTTACAATGAGGCTACATATTTTCCCTTTAATTATGATAAAAACGGGAACAGAAAGTCAAGAATGATTACACGCTATCCTACAGCATTCCCATAGTCTTGCAGCGCTAATATGTGTTTCACGCTAACTAACCGACTGCACTGCGTTTGGCGCAATGCGAGAAGTATTCATGCAGTCTTGTAGGCGCTGATATGGGCCGTGCGCCGTCCGTACTATTTGGCGCAATGCGAGAAGTATTCATGCAGTCTTGTAGGCGCTGATATGGGCCGTGCGCCGTCCGCACTATTAGGCGCAATGCGTGAAGTATTCGTGAAGTCTTGCAGGCGCTAATGTACGTTCAACGCTGGCCGCACTGTGTTTGGCACCATTATTCTAACTCGCATTAGAATAATCGCGGCATCGAATTATAGGGCCTATTTGTTGTGTTTCGACGCCGTATGTGCATTCCAACGTTGCCTCGTTTCTCCCGATTGAATATTTTTTCCGAGAGAAGTTGGGAAAATTCTTTATACCTACTACCATTATTCAATATTTTCACTTCATTGAACATCAGAAGGTAAGACATCGATGGCTTGTCAACAAACTAACCCAAATTAGCGTTAACATAAAAATGCGCTGATTCTCTAACCGTTTCCTGTTTTGACAAACTTGTACCTTAAATTAACCTCATTTTATATTCGCGCATTCCTGTAACAGATGTTAAGGTTTCTGTTCGCGCAATTCTTTTGCATTCTTCGCGTAATCCTCATATATTTTCTTAGACTTTTCGCGCAATCCTGGATTACCGTTTTCCGATTCTGTGTTTACCCATCGAAGGGTATGGATTCGCTCGAAATGGAAGAAACAAAAAATGAAAACTCTAATCGATCAACGTGGGCCGATCGACGCCGCTTTGATTAACACTTTATTAAGAAACCGGTGTTTATTCGATCGATATAAATCGACCGAAACATAAAAATGTGAACCGATCGATGTGATTGGATCTACACGTATTTGATCGACCAAATACGATCGATCCACGGGTTGTCAAACGATCGATACACAGCTTTATCGATTGATTTATGACCATGGCTTTGTCGATCATTTCAGGGATTTATTTGATCGATTCCCAGTTTTGTCGATCGATTCCCAGTTTTGTCGATCGATTCACGGGGTTTTCGATTGACTCACAGATTACGTCCTGTCATATCGAGAAAAACCACAATTAATCTGAAGTTCATGTTCTAACCAACGGATCAGCTGTTGATTAGTGCGTTTCAGGTTGGTTTGTGGCGTTTATCAATTAACTTTAAAGTTGTTCGTTTTCATTATTATTTATTCGCTTATTTCTTTTTTTCAGCAATGCAAACAACTAAATGAGCTCTTGAAGACATTAAAAGAGATGGAGCTGGAGGAAGGAGCGGCGGGGAAGGGGAAATGGCGTGTGAGAGTGAAACGGCTATTGGCCAGCCGGGAGAGACTTCTTCTTGAGGTCGGACGCATGGTCAGACTTGGCCGACTACTTCGGACACGGCTCAAGGAACCACTTTGCCAAGAATTAGCGTGAGTTCCAAAATAAAATGTCTTTAATAGTTTTGCACTAATGCAGGGTGTACTTGTGCAACTTGTTTAGGTCATCTTGGAAAATTGGACAATATTTTGAAATTTGGAACTACAATATCAGGTTATTTCGTAAAAACACTCATGTGCAGAGTGAATAATTAATGGTACATACGTAGTTTCGAAACTGAGCCAAATTTTGTGGTTCCAAATCGCAAAATGTAGTCTAAATGATAATATCCAGATTTTAAACGGTTGCATCTATGAAAATAATAACAGGCTATCTCAAATTTGAGCAAATTTGAAGATTTTTAGATAGTGCGCAGACGCCAAGCGCTCCGAAAAATATCACTTGACACCAGTGTAGCCCTCGCAAAAATCACCCAAGCATCCATTAATTCCACAGTCACTTCAGTTATTTCAAATCCTCCTGCACATGCGTATTAGCAGTGTGGTCACACCTACAAAAAATTTTGAGGAGAAACATTCCGTCTGTTCCAGAAAAACTTAAATTCTTCATCTAAACAGATATCGTAGACTCTTTATGAGGGGACTAACGACTGGTTTGTTTAACGATATTTAAATTCAAGCACACGGCTAAAATCACCAAAAGCTTTAGATTATGCTTTTTTATTTATGTTTGATTCTTTGGGTTGTTAACAGGAATGACGAAAGCAATTCCACTGCCATTGCGGCCATTGCCGAGCAATTGTCCGAAGTGACGGGATCAGCCGAGAAATTGGATGCAGCTCTTTGTGGCTCGCAATCCGAAGTCAAAAAAATCCTCGAAGGCATCTTTTCATCCGTTCCATCATCTGAGGTAATTACACGCATATCCCTTGTCGTTTGACATGAAGCAACCATCTAAACAACTCAGTAAACAAATCATGCGATTCTAATAAATGTAAATACCTACTTCAAATAAAATGACCTACGCAGTAGTATGAACAATCGAGAATCTACACTTCATACTTTCTTCACAAAATTTTTAAAGGCTACTTAGTTTTTGAAACTAAGAGTTCAAGTTCAATTGAATCTCAGAAAAATGTTGTAGGTATCAGAAAAAAATTTTACTGTGGTGAATTTAGCTATCAACATGAATATAAGAATAGAATGACATGAATAGAAAAATAGACTGATAGGCTTAAAAATTGGAAAGAATATACCTGATGTCCTTAATGCACGGCTCAAATAGTTGAAAAAATGTCCAGATGGTATATCATCCGAACGATATCACTTGAATGATATCTCATTCACTGTAAGACGTTATCAATTAAATCTGTGAAAATGACTTGTTATGAGCAAAAAAAATTGATGATGAGCACGCTCATACTTCTATTTTCTACCCAATCACCCACCTCATTCCTTAATCGGAGCAGAATTCCACGATGGTTATCACGCGTGCGCATCACACTTTTTGCAGTAGCGTGGCGGCGTGGCGTGCTTTGCGATCGATCGATTGATCTGCCATTTAAACCTACGGAAAAGTATCGATAAACAGTGTGTTCGCAGCGAACACCTCAATAATCAATTCTTTACCATAGCGACGACCGCACTGTATTTGGTGCAATGCGTGAAGTATTTCTGCAGTCTTGTAGGCGCTAATAATATGCGTTTCCCGCCGACCGGCGCGGCGCGCATCACCTCAAATGGGGAAATATTGATAATCGATTATTCACGCTTCACCACTGATTTTTTGGCTGTTACGTCACTTGTTCTTATCGTCTTGTCGATCACTCATCAACAAATTTTTCCTGTTCGTCGCTTATACACTTTTGACTTTTCTCAAACTTAAACTGTTCTGTCACGTATGCACGCTTGTCATGCTTGTCACGTTTTGCTCGCTCCAGGAATGGTTTTCTAGTCTACCCAAGCCGAAATCCGAGGATGGACACGAGAACCGATCCGACGAGGACTTCCTGACGGCATCGGAGAGCACCCCCGGGGGCACGCCTGAGGGGACGCCGCCCTCGCAGGCCTCCTTCCAGACGGCGTCCGAGGGCGACCCGTGGTGGGACGAAACCGGCTCTGATCTCGAACTCATCGATGAGAAACAATCCACACCCGAGGTAACCACCATAAATTGATTCACACGAAATATGGAATAGCACACAGTGGATCTTGAGTCCAGACTCTTGAAAAAATTGACAAGTAAAAATACTCTTGATTCAATCGGATTTTTGCAACTTGAATCAAAACAAAATCCGCCTAAATTAAGAGGCTTGGTTCTTGATTTAAGCTAGATTCTGATTAAATCAAGAGTACTTTTTCTTGTCAATGTTTATAAGAGTCTGGACTCTAGATCCGATGTGTTTTTTTTCCAGTAAGGTATAAGAAACTAGGAGGTTTGGCTCTCAAGCCGCTACACGGCCCGTTTTCAGCAGTGCGCTTCGCGCCCTCCAAAGCGCACGAAATTTTGGACGCAAGGACATTACTTCCCTATTCTGCCGTGCTTAAGAAAAAAGCCGTATAAACCTTCAGGCGTTGACAAATTTCTTTTGATAAAACACAAATTTCCTGGTAAATTTGTGAATATTTTCTCTTCAATTTTCAGATAATTTTGTTCGCAATTTTACATACAGTTCCTGAAAAATTCAAGGAAAAATATTCGTAAATTTTCTTAGGAATAAACATTTTACCGAAGGAAATCTGGCAACTCTCGAATGTTCATACGGCGTCTTTCCTTAGCACGGCAATATTGGTAATGATCGTTACTTGAGATTCGCCTACAATTTAGCCGCATAGGCAACATACACACCCGTGGTTTGCAGGCCCTTCCGTCAACAATTTTTCGTCCTCGCACCTGTTTTGTCCAGTAGTTTACGTCCACGCGTAAAATAAGCAACAGTGACTTGGTCGAAGCGTTATATTTTAGTCCGTATGTAAAATTATATTGACAATATCAAAATGAGAAATTGAGAGAGAAGGAAGTGTTGTTATGGTAACTCTTTTTTAAATGAAATGTTACTTTCTTCTTTTGATTCATCTTTATAAATTGTCATTTGTGAATATGTGCTCTTATTTCTATCCTTAAAATTTTCGATACAATATATCTTATAAAGGTATAAGTACTTCTTTTTATTTATTTTTTTTTACGAAATTATTACTTCATTTTGAAAACATTTACATTTTTTAAACGTGACAAATATTTGTAAAACCTTTTCCAAGCGATGGCATCGATATTAATCTTAATGAGCCGCAGTTGTGTTAAAATAAACTGTAAAAATGAATAAAAGAGGGGAAAAAACCAAGGAGCACGCAATCTTTGGTTGTAACCCATTTGTACATCGATCTTTTAGAGTAAAAACCGTTAAATTTTGAGCGTTTGGTTGCGCGTACACCTCGCTGCAGCACAGTAAAACAGTAAAAAAAAATTAAATGATTTGGCAATCATTAAATTTTACACGGAACGACCAATATTTAACAAACATACATTATATTCTCCTTTGATACAAATTTTTTCCCCATCAATTTTTAATAGAATAATTCATGCAGAGTGTGCAAACATTTCAAAATCATGAGTTAAAAAACGCCGACTCTACGAGTATAAATATTAGAGCCAAACAGAGCGGAGTGGCGTGCTACCAGCGTGAGAGGCTCACTGGCGCCTACAAACCTAAGCGGATACTTCAGGCATTGCGGAATGCGTGAAGTATCCACTTAGGTTTGTAGGCGCCAATGCGCTTTTCGCGCTGGCCGCCCGCCCGCCGTGCGGCGGCGCCTGAAGCAACTATTTCACAACAAAGGTGTTGCACAGTATTATACGAAGTTGAACGTATTAAGAATGACATGCATCCTTTGAAAGTACAGATCTTTCCTCGCAAAATAAATCAAGATACTTATCGTACACAGAAAAAATCTAAAAGCCTTCAGCTGAGGCGAATGAAAAGGTTTACCCGGTTAGGTATAACGAGGTAAGAATTTCTTGGAAGATAATTAAGACCTCTTGCACCAAAGAAGTGTCGAGAGGTTTAGTGAATTTTGTCTCATAGAATTGACGCTCCCCAATTATTACCTAATATCTCAATTATATATTACTCTCCGTTGGACCAAAGGAAAAGAAAACATGGAAAAAACAAGCAAACCCTCATTCTTCCAAAATATTTTACATTTTCATCCAAAAACGTCTTTTAAAAAAGGTAGATTCACACGCTTATGGTGCCATCAATGAGTAAATCTAATGAAACACTATTATCGTTCCATCACCAACACTTTATTTGTTGATATTTACAGGCATCCACGTCGAGCCCAGAAGTACCAAAACCTGAGCAAGACAAGTCACCGCCTCCTCCGCCAGAGGACACCCTCGTAGAGGGCGCGACCCTGAATGATCCACCAGAAGAATTCACGACTCCACCTCTGGGAGACTCGACCCCAGATCCAAAAGAGGGGTCCTCGAAAAGCGACTCGGAACAGTGCAGCTCACCCGCCTCGGAGGAATCCACGTCGGGGTCAAGTTCCAAAATGGCAGACCCAAGCCCCAAAATGGCGGACCCCGAGGCGAAAGGCCCCTCCAAGGGTGACTTGCCCAACGGCGAACTTCCCGAACGATCCAAGCTCGAGCGGAACAACAACGACTCCGATTGTCTCTCCAAGAACTACTACGGAGAGCTCGCCCGGCAAGCAATGACAGGCGTCTTTACATGATCAGTGTCAACGCGATTCATGTTACATTGAAACTCAAGTTAAAAACCTTACGTCATGCCACGTCTCACCCACGTGAAACACTATAAAAATGGACCTTGGCCCCCAGCCCCCCCCCCAAATTTTAGCGTACCCCAAAATCGTTTGACAAACATAAAGAGGCCACAAATATGGTCTTCTCTGCAAATTTTGAATGAAATCGAACAGATAGATTCTGAGATGTCGCTGTTCACAGATTTGGGGGACGCCTGACGGACGGACACACATTTTTCAAGTATGGTTATTTTGACTCCTGGGACCTTAAAACGTCTAGGAATGATGAAATTTCAACTTTTTTTCTCCCCCTTGCAGGATGATAATACTTCCTCTACCCTAGGGTAGCGAGAAAGTAAGAATCTTAAGCTGTCTAAAAACGAACTCCAATAGAGGGACCTTGTGTTTTAGTGTGTTTGAAAGGTTTGAAAACTCAGTCGAGAGGAGGGCAGTTTCGGGTTTCCCTTTTATTGATACAATTTTGACTTTTCACAATTTTCATCCAGGAAGGCGTAAGGGGCGTGCGTCCCCTCCCCCTTCTTCCGAAAAAAAGAGGAGGATAAAGGAGAGGAAAAATCTCGGATATTGTGGGGAGGGAGCCCCAGCCCCCCGCCTCCCGTTCGAACGTTCCCGAGCGTGTGGTACATATGGACTGCATTTTGCAATTAGGAACCACAAGTTCTGGCTCAATTTAGGAATAACATAAGTACTATTAGTTTCCCTAGGCACATAAGTGTTTTTACAGATGAGCCAGAAATTATACCTCCGAATTGCAAAATGTAGGCCATATGAAATTCTCAATGTTCTGTCGTGATTTGCACCCTACTCAGTATTTAAACGTTCCTTCCAATATTTTGATAGCCTAGGCGCGAAACCACGTTTCGCCTTTACGGTGTTTCAAATCTCTGCCCATCAGTTATTTCATCGAAGAGAAACAAGTCATTTATGTAGCTTGAAATTTCTGAGGGATGTCTGAAAATCAAAGTAATCTATCGATAGATTAAGTTGACTTCCCAAAGAAAAAATGAAGTATGACCGGAAATCTGCAGCGCCGCGAATGGAGATATGTGATTTTTCATTTTAACCACCGATTTGTATCCACACTGGAAAAAAAAACACATTGGATCTAGAGTCCAGACTCTTGAAAACATTGACAAGAAAAAATACTCTTGATTCAATCGGATTTTTGCTTGAATCAAAACGGAATCTGCTTAAATTAAGAGGCTTGGTTCTTGATTTAAGCTAGATTCTGATTGAATCAAGAGTACTTTTTCTTGTCGATGTTTTTAGGAGTTTGGACTCTAGATCCAATGTGTTTGTTTTCCAGTGCGCTACAAGTATGAAGATGCTCACAAATTACGACAATGAGTAGCCAATTGAGTACCTACACAGAATCAACTCCGTCTATTCACACTATTGTGCCAGATATTTTATGACTTCCTTCATATTTTTCTTTTAATCTAAGCCCACCACAGACAGAGGAATAACCGCCTCTTCAAACAAGATAAGAAAAATCAATAACTTGTACCTCGCATCAATCTTGCGTCCGTATGGGGCTGTCGAATTCGTTTTCATATCGTGTCGAGTCCGTTAGTCAAATATAGGTACATCGTGTAAATATGCGTTGAAAAATCACCGTGGTACTTTCAAACATAAAAAATGCATCGATGAGGGAGGCTCAAAAAAGGTTGAAACCAAGGGGTATTTCAATGTAATTTCTGGTAGTAAGTTGCGGTGTGTGTGTGATATCGTGGTTTTATGTGCGCGGTATCTAGTGAATAACAAAGAAAGAAACTCTTCCTGTATGTGCTAACAATGCCAGCGAGTCCGTCCAATTCCTTCGTTATATTGAGGTTGTCGTATTGGTAAAAACTAAATATTTAAATCACCAGTAAGCTTAAATTCATATTCAATCAAATTTTGTCGGGATTATCGATTTTCAGGTATTCGTGATCAGATTCACGATTTGATCTAATTTTATACCCATCCAATTTATAAAACACTCATTTTTCAACAGCAATCGAAACACAAATTCATTGATTGCAGTGATTTCAACGCATTTTAACGAAGTCACGCTGTTTAAAACGATGTCTGTGCTAGAAAAATTGACTTCCGAAATATTGCCGAAAGTCGCAAAGGAGGGTAATTTTGGCCATGAAATTGAAAAATTTGTGGAATTCAAAACAGATAAAGACTATAACGCACCGGATCATCTTTCCGCGAGCATCTTTTTTGGTGACGTCATTCTTGAGACCAAAAACGGACATCGCAAAGCTCTGAGTGTTGTGGTAAAGGCACAAGCTGGTGGCAAACTTTTCGAGGAGTCCGATAGGTATTCCTTTAACATCCAACTCTACAATGAGGTTTTATTTTACTCAGGAATCCTCCCTCTGTTCCACGAGTGTGATCCAAGCGGCTCCATCTTGAAAATCTTTCCAAAGTGCTTCTACGCACACGCGAACGAAAGCAACCCGGCTGAAGATATCCTAATTTTTGAGAACGTGCAAAAATACGGATTTAGAATGTCACCGTGGAGAGCATTCAATGATTACGCTCATATCGAACTCACTGTCAAGTGGCTGGGAAAGTTCCACGCGATGTCTTTAACGTGTAAGCATAAGTTCCCCCGAAGATTTAATGAGATCGTTGCCAAATTTAAGGAGACGCACTGGACGAAAAAAAGGCTACAAAAGCCAGATGCCTTCTTCAAAGAAAACTGTAAAAGAGGCATCGTGCCCCTACAAAATAATCCAGATTATAAGGACAAGTTAAAGGATCTGTTAACCGTCGTTGAGGAGACCGATATTTCGATGGCTAAAATAGTCGCTCCAGAGGAGCCTCTAGCAGTGGTCTGTCATGGAGATTTCTGTAGGAACAATGTATTCTATAAATATGACTCAAACGACAAACCTTTAGAGGTTATGTTCTTCGATTTTGCTACCTCACGTTACTCATCTCCTGCAATCGATCTCTCGTTTTATCTTTTTATGAATTCTTCCCCCGCTTTCAAGGCCGATCACTGGAATGACGTTCTACAGACCTATCATACGGCTTTGACGTCAAACTTTGATCTCAGTCCTGTAGAGCCTCCCTCTTTCGAAAATATCCAGCTGGACGTTCGACGAAGGGGCTTTTACGGGTACACTTTTGCCGCTTTCTTTCTGCCTGCGATGTTCGAAGATGATTGGACGAAGACGGAATACCGTGAGATGACGATTCCCGAAATCATTGAACGTCAACTTACGTACGGAGGAGAGGTGGGAACTGAGTACGTTAAGCAACTCGTAAAGTTTATGATAGAGCATGACTTTGATTTTAAGTACATTTTGAACCTAAAACTCGATGCCTTTAATTAGTGACCTTTGTGATTTAAAAACTCAGAACTAAAGTCGAAAAATTCGTTTTTCCGATTGTTACGTTTCAAATCTTTGCTCCAATTTCATTTTTTCAAAAGAGGGTTGAATCGCGGTCGGTAAAATTTTTCCTTATTTTTTTATTTTTTTCAATCTGTTTTTTTCTTCAGGCATTTAAACAAATTCACAAAAAATGTTACAATTTTGTTTATAATATTGTAAAACACGAAACATGATTGAAGGTTTTTAAACGTTGCGTTAAAAATACTCATTGTCAGTTCAATCATTTTAGTCATTGGCGTGTAATCTATAAATTTTATTTAATGCATTAAGTTTCACATCTGATTTTACAAGTTTAAAGAATGCGTCGCATGATAAAGGCAGCTGCTTGTTGAGTTGAATTTTCTTTGGTCACTAAACTTTTCTCACCCGTTTCTTATTCACGGTTAATTCGCAGCTTTTTTTTTCACTCACAGGTCAACCCATCCTTAGACAAATGAAAAGCCTCAAATTTTGCACACTAATTTATTTTAATAACTCAGGAGACATAAAACTCTCAAAATAACATGGTAACTTTAACTCGCATAAACGTTTGAAACACTATTCATACCCTTTGAAGATTACGTCTGCTGTTTAATTAGTTACTGTTTACAATTAAATTAACAAGACTCATATACTTTTATCGCACAGGATCCTCCACTTTATCACTAGAAATTTTAAAAATGAACATCACTATCACTGACACTAAGCGCAATTCACTTACCAAAAAAATTTAATTGAGATGTAGAAGGTACCACGAGTAAAAAGTTGAAAAGTGATGAATTTTTTAACGATCTTGAAATTTAATTGTTAGCCTGATTTGACGAATGCACCCATTCTCATATAGTCGATACACTTATAGAATCCTGAAAGATTAGTCTTTTTCAAAAATGATCCCCAAATAAGGTAAAGACTGGATATTTTCTTAAAACCAAAAGAAACAAACAAAGTGGCATGCTTTTCTAGCAATGATTGTAGGGTATACCCTACTAATTTTGACCACTCATTAATTTTTGTGCAATGGTTTTCTATATTTTTATTAAAAATATTGAAGTGGTGATTAAATTTTCTTTTCGAATTGTTACTATCATTCAGTATAAGTTTGAATCGTCAGTAACTTTCTGATTCATAGCTTTCTTTGTTTTATTCCTTATTTGTTATTGTTTGGTTTTAATTTTCGTTTTCCTCTTACAATGTTCTTAATTTTCTATGTTTTTTTTATTTCATTTTAAAACGAACTGAAGTGGCGAATTGAGTCACAAGACTCAAAATTTTGGAAACTTGTTCCCAACTTATCGTGTTTTACGTTGACTACAATCTCATCCTTTTATCATCAGCTGCTCATGGTGATAGAAACAATTACAATTACCGCACATTGAATGACCGAGGAAGCAACCAGTTTTTCATACTTTAAATAAACAAAGTTGGTGCGGAAATTTTTTTTCAGAAGTATAGCAAGAGCGCCGAGATCATTTGGATATAAAATTCCGAAGATAAATTTCTCGAAGTGTAGTAATGAACACATAACTGTTGACCACGTTTTTAGATTTGATGCATGAATAAGCTACAAAATATTGTCATTTTCATAGTTGTGAAGGAAAAATCTCCATTCAATCTCTACTGTTCAGTTATTATTAATAAGGTGATCCGTTACCTTTCATTTCGGACGAGTAAGATTCACGTGTATGAGTAACTCCACATATGATGTTTCTATAAAATGGAGTTTTTAGTATAATCATTTCGAATAAAACCGAAAAAGATGCAACAGCGCACTTAATTTAAATTTTTCAGAGGGTAGAAGGTCTCAAATTCAATTCCCAACTCCTAAAATGGTGTTTTTGATGTTGTTATTGTTGTTGTTGTTTTTCTTTCTTTCAATTTCACCTGACCCTGGGTTTCATTCATTTATGAATTTCTTGCCATGATCAATTTAAGTATGAATTTGCTCAAAGTACTATTATTAGCTTCAAAAAGCAGGACATTTTTAAGCGCAATGCTAACATTGATTGTGTCTAAAATTATTATACTTGTAAAAACATTTCATTAGGCGTTCTAATTGCTAATGTAAGCATGTTTGTTTTCGACGATAGTGATTAAGTATAGTATTAAGAGCATCTTTTAGTCATTTAAGAAAGCATCTCAATATTTTAGTTGTATAAATTTTTGTGAAGCGATTAAAATTCGTCATCCACTTTTATGATTACAGTATTTGAATAAATTCTCATTATTATGCGGTTTTCATATAATATTTATCATTTCATAAGTAAGTAACAATTCCTATTGCAAGGGGGTTCTAAACAATGAGGTTAACCGATCGGCCCTAAATGCCCAGCCCAAGTAGCACAGATTCCGATTACATAGTGTAATTATTGCTATTGTGCTGGAATGTTCTGCATGTTGTCTACTCACAGATTGAAGGGGCTCCTCTTACTGAAATTCATTGCAATAAAATTGAAATAAGTTAGGGTTGTTTTCATCGCCAAATGCCTAATTATCTCCTTTCTGACTCATGGTATTTTATCATCATTAAAAATAGGCATTGATCGAATGACTTTATTCTTTTGAAAAATGCGGTTCGAGTTCACTTTTTAAGCGAGGAATGCGTGAATATTTTCACATTAAAAATTACACTTGATTTGAAGCTTGAATTTTTCTCCTCAAGCCAAGAGAGCTAATTTATTATTTATTAAAAAAGTAAAATACAACATATTGGTAATGATTTAAGTAATTAGTATTAAGTAGAAAGGTTTCCTTATAATATAACACGTAAAATTATGGAGAGCACCTTTAAAAAATATGAAAATTCAGGAATTTATTTTTACAATATTTTTCTGAAATTTTCAGTTCTCATTCCATCACTCTCAAAAATGAGCTTAGTCTCCATTGGAGATACACAAAAAACAAAATCGCTTATGAAGTTAGGTATACGACTTTTTTAAAATCACTGGACCCGTAGCAACAAGAGATCGCTCGTTTTCAACAACGACGAGCGATCAAAAAGTGTTTCGACTTCAAGATAGCCTTACATTTTAAAATAAGAGAACGATACAGTTACCTGTTCGATCGTTCTATTGATGGTAAAATTAACACAAAAAATTACACCAAAACGTAAGAAAATGGTGATGAATTTTGCGCGTTTCCGCAAAACAATAGGAACTCACAGCGTTACAGCAATATCAGCTACGAAGATTTACTGAGCATTCTCACTAGTTTCAATGTCTTTAACGCGGTTATTTTATCATGATTTTAATCGCAAACGCGCCGTTGGGGACTTTTTTACGCAGTTCGTACAATCCACCCCGTACCCCAGTCAATCAACTTTTTGCTGCAATATTGCGATTGCTTGTTATCATTACGGACACAGATTGAATGTTATGTTGCAAAATTTATAAATCAAATCATACATAAATTAGCATTTAAAGTGAATGAATAACAATTAGGCCTAGATCCATGAACAGGCCTAATTGTGATTAGGTCACTAGTAAAATAGATACAATATGCATAATCTTGCAATAAACTAAATGATATATTAAAGTCCTCGATGATCATAATAATCCTTAATGTGTCTATTCCGTTTTTATTAAAAACATCGAAGAGTAGCTAAGCGCACCAAAGTCACCAAGTTATAAACAATGTAACTTTTTTTGGATTTAACCTACTGAAGAGGCCCACATATTTTCTAATGACATTCCATTAACTATTTTACACCGGAAAAAAAACACATTAGATCTAGAGTCCAGACTCTTAAAAACATCGACAAAAAAAAACACTCTTCCTTCAATCAGATTTCAAGAGCCAAGCCTCTTAATTTGAGCGGATTTCCTTTTGATTTAAGCTTAAATCTGATTGAATCAAGAGACCTTTTTCTTGACAATGTTTTCAAGAGTCTGGATTCTAGATCCAATGTGGTTTTTTTTCCAGTGTACCGCACATTTTTCACTGAGCCCATGTTTAGGCCCGTATTAGACCCGAAGAGTCCAAAATGATCTAATCATGCTGAATTTCGTAAAATATAAACTTTCGATGGGGAAAAATCATAAAGTTGAGGAAATTCGGATAGGGCCCAATTAGAGGCCTCATTAATGTCCCTGCCTCACAGAAAGGATCATAGGCATTATTTTGTTAAATTTTCGGTTAAAAAAAGTACATGAGAAATGAAAGAAAATGCAACACGAAATGTAGTCAGGCTTATCCTGTCAAAATCCGACAATCTCTTAAACTAATGTTTCTGCTCCCTGTTTCCCCCTTTTCCTTTTGCCAAGTAGTTATTTGTCATCCCCTATTATCCCCTTTTATCCCCATTTATCCACTGCTCCACCTCCTCCACCTCCTCCTCCTCCTTCTTCTTCTTCTCCTTCTTCCTCTCCTCACATCCCCTACTATCCCCATTTATCCACTGCTCCAGCTCCTCCACCTCCTCCTCCTCCTTCTTCTTCTTCTCCTTCTCCTTCTCCTCACATTCCCTATTATCCTCATTTATCCACTGCTCCAGCTCCTCCACCTCCTCCTCCTCCTCCTTCTTCTTCTCCTTCTCCTTCTCCTCACATTCCCTATTATCCTCATTTATCCACTGCTCCAGCTCCTCCACCTCCTCCTCCTCCTTCTTCTTCTCCTCCTTCTTCTCCTCCTTCTTCTCCTCACATCCCCTATTATTCCCTATTATCCACTGCTCCAGCTCCTCCTCCTCCTCCTTCTCCTTCTTCTCCTCCTTCTTCTCCTCCTTCTTCTCCTCCTTCTTCTCCTCCTTCTTCTCCTTCTTCTCCTCCTTCTTCTCCTCTTCCTTCTCCTCCTCCTCCTCCTTCTTCTCCTCCTTCTTCTCCTCCTTCTTCTCCTCCTTCTTCTCCTCCTTCTTCTCCTCCTTCTCCTCCTCCTTCTCCTCCTCCTTCTTCTCCTCCTTCTTCTCCTCCTTCTTCTCCTCCTTCTTCTCCTCCTTCTTCTCCTCCTTCTTCTCCTCCTTCTTCTCCTCCTTCTTCTCCTCCTTCTTCTCCTCCTTCTTCTCCTCCTTCTTCTCTTCATTTTTAGCCTGATCAATATTGGCGGTTTCAAGGGCCTCGACCAGGTCCATCAAGCACCCTTTCGCATCATCGTCATCGGATTTCGGCATCAGATGCTCCGCAACGTCAGCCGGCGTCATCTTCGTCTCGCTAAGCAACTTCTCAATCCTCACGAACAATTCATGCTCTTCAACGCCTAGGTAATTTTTAGCGAGCAATTGAAACGCCTCGTAGCAACAGTACGACATCTCGATGTGCCTGTCCATTCTCCCTCTCCTGATCAAAGCCGGGTCAAGTTTATCGACATAATTCGTCGTGAAAACTATGATCCTCTCCCCGCCGCAAGCCGACCAAATCCCGTCGATGAAGTTCAAGAGACCAGACAAAGTCACTTTGCTGTCACTCTTAGCCTCCTTCTCCATCTCTTTGATAACCTTCCTGTCTGGGTCTTCTTCTTCCTCTTCAACTTTTTCCTCCTCCTTCTTTGCCCTTTGCCCGGTGAGGTGAAGCGAGCAATCGATGTCTTCAACCACTATGATAGACTTGCTAGTTGTCTCGATCAACAGCTTCCTCAACTCGGAGTTATCTTTGACAGTGGTAAGTTCAAGATCGTACACATCGTAGCTCAAGAAATTGGCCATCGCTGCGATCATCGTTGACTTCCCGGTCCCTGGAGGGCCGTACAGGAGATACCCTCTCTTCCACGGCTTCCCGATCTTATTGTAATAGTCCTGCCCTTTGCTGAACTTCAAGAGGTCTTTCTTGATGGACTCCTTCTCTTTCCTCGGCATCGCGAGGGTGTCGAAACTTGCGGGATGCTCGAAAGGAACGTGGCTCCATTTCAAGGGCTTGTAAGAGTACCAGTTTGAACTCGGGTTGTTGGTGTAGAGCTTCCTCTGCCGGTTCTTGAACGCGATGGCTTTGCCCTCCTCCAGGACGTAAGGGATGTAGGATTTGGTGATGGTGTCCCGGTGATCCCTGTGGAACGTGAGGGTGAAATACCTCCGCTCTGTTTCGGAGGGGTAGAAGGAAACGGACGGGTTTTTGGGGGTGGTCTTGCACGAGAACCACATCACTCTGATGCCTTGGAAGACGTCGTAGACCTCCTCGTGGTCGTCCATGGAGAGGATGATGGACTGGCTGCCTTTGAAGATGTCGGCTTTGAGGCGCTTCGCCGAGGCGCAACACTCTGCACTGAGGTAGCTTTGAATGGCGCTGTAGGCCTCGCTACGTTTGAGGCGCTCTCCTGTGAGCTCCTGAAAAGTGATTTCTATGTGTGGAGAGAAGAATCCGATGAATCGGTTGATAAACCTCGCGAAAAAGCTGCGGAACCTCTGAGGCAGATACTCTTGGAACATTGTCCGGGCGATCATCAGACCGGCAATCGCCGTCCCCACCGTAGTCCAGTACTCCATGTTTCGGCAACTCCCTTGAACAAAGAAAAATAAGCTTATTAGAAACACACCGTACTTCAAAAATCAATAATTGAGGGGCTTGGAGGACAAGGCGCATAAGTGCAGTTTTTGCTATATTCTTCGATATTCTTTCGTTTTTCGAGAAATACGTGTTTGAAGTTTCGAAATTACTTGGATCCTTGTGGCGGAGAGCAAGTTCAAGCTGACATTTTGATGCTTAAAAATTTGAATTTAGAAACGAATGTTTCACAGAATATCCGTTAAGATTATTTTCATTTGAAATCAGCGATATCTTAATTTTTTCAAAAACTGCGCTTATGCATCTTGTCCTCCAAGCTCCACAATTGGACCGCTTTAAGTAGAAATAAATCAAGCCACATCAGCTATCGCCAAATTTAATTGGGTAGTTTAATTTCCCTGGTAAAAATTGGCGATAAGAGCTGCGTTTCAAAATACCATAGGAGTTCTTATAGCCGACCAAAGAAGGCGATAGAAAATCATATAGCTGGCTGTAGAAAGTGGGAAAATCATACGGCCGGGCTGCATGAAGCGATAAGAAATTATACAGCCGGGCTATAGTTCTTATCGCCGGGCTTTACACTTTATCGCCTGGCTGTTGCTTTTTCGCCATCGGCTATAAAAGGATATAAGAAATTGTGTAGAAATTCGTTTGCTTTGCAAATCCTTAAGTTTGTACGGGAACACCTTAATATATACAAAACGTACATTATATTTTCCTTTACTACATATTTTTTTTCATCAATTAAAATGAGAATAATCCATACAGAGTGTGCAAACATTTCAAAGTCATGAGTTGAAAAACGCTGACTCCACGAGATTGAATATTAGAGCCTAACACAAAGCGGAGCGGCGCGGCGGCGCTCTGGCGCCTACAAACCTAACAGGGATACTTCACGTATTGCGCAATGCGTGAAGTATCTCTGTTAGGTTTGTAGGCGCCAGTGCACGTTACGCGCTGGCTGCCCGCCCGCCGCGCCGCAGCGTACCACGGCGCTTGAAGCAACTATTTCACACCAGAGGTATTGCACAGTATCATACAAAATTGATGGCGCTCCAACATACAAGAAATGGCAGGCATCCTTCAAAAGTACGGAGCTTTCCTCGCAAAATAAATCAAGATACTACGGTCCAAAAAGAGAGCGGAGTCCAAAAACTTACTAAGTCCTAGCATCCTTAATTAGTAGCGTTTAGCATACACTTTATCGCCAGGCTGTTGCTTAATCGCCATCGGCTATAAAAGGCTATAAGAAATTTTGTTGCCGGCAATAGAAGCTATTGAAAATCTTACTGTCGGCTGTAGGTATATGGTATTTTGGAACACAGATTCGACTGCCAATTTTTACCAGGGTTTTACCATGAAAAGGGTTGTGCGGATTTTTGAGCAAATTTCAGTGAACAACATAGTACGAAGCAAATTCCTTATAATTTCCAAATGAATCTGCACAAACGTTCTCTTGTAAAAATAATTAAACTGCCCAGTTAAATTTGGCAATGGCTGATGTGGCTTGGTTCCTTTCTGCAAAGCGCGGTCCAATTACTCGGCTTGCTGCAAAGGACATGTCATGCTCTGTGATTGACCTTCTCTGTGCGCAGCAATTGCTTACAAGGAATGATTTTACTTTGTTCTTTTCTAAAAAAATAAAACAGGAGCAGAGATTTTTTAACACCGCAAACGAGATGCGTGTTTTGGTAGTTTCGCCATCGCCATGTGGTTCCGAAGTTGACCGAAGAAAAAATTCAAAGCGTAAAGAAGTAACTTATGTGCGAACAAATTTCAAGATGTCACAGCTAATCTGTATTTGAAAATTACTTTTTTTAGATTCAGAACTTACAAATACAATATTACAGCGCGGAATCGGTAGATGAGCATTTAGCACGGAAACTTCGAATAATTGCGCAATGATTCGCAACCTTTACGTTAAAATTACACTGAAAGAAGTTATACACTGTTTCATTATTTGTACGTACATGTAATGTAAACTTTAAGTTGTGCGAAATATGTAATATCATTTTTTGTCAATGAGACGTGGAATAATTTGGAGCTTTTTTGTAACTGCTAAATTACTTTTCAATTTTACGAGCTCACATCTTCGTATGACGTGCAGATTTTTATCTGCACGATCGATTTTCTCCGTTCACGGTAAGTATATTTTGACCTTTTTTTAGGGCTTTTGAAGAGCCCATTGGTAAGTATGGTGAATTTAAGGCTACGAAATTCAGCACATTTACTATCGCTCATTTTTAAAGGAACTTTTTTGAGAATTTTTCATCAGATTTTACCCGTAACCATCTTATCAGCGATCATATCAAGACAGCGTGCACTTTTTTCATATCAGTGTGGAGCTTTAAAAAAATATATTAATGGATATGTAAATTTAAAATATACCTAGTTGTACTCTTCTGAGGAAGAGCCCTCCTTTTGCCCTTTTCCTGCTCCTTTTCCTTTTGCCCTCCCTCACAAAACTCGATGTGCCCCATTCTATTGAAGCCGTTTGCCATTAATTTATCAGTTGGTACCAGCTCATACAAATAGTAAGATGTAAGTTTATTTGTTTATTTAGGTGCTGATTATCAATTATTTTGAACCGACCCGTTAACATTCATCTCTGTGTCACAGGTCACTGACCTTTTCGACCCTTGTACTCAGTAGTATATCGATGACTTAGCTCTCGAAACTGGTGCCTATCTCAAAATGCGACATTCTATTTTGCGTGACAATTATTAAGTAAAAATTGAAAGTCATAATATTAATTGATTTAAAAAAAAACTGAACGTAAAAAAACGATTTTGAAATATTGTCATTCAGTTTGATGTTATTAGAATTTAGCCTTTGATATGATAACAGTACTTAGCGACAAAGAATAGCAGACACTCACATCACGACAATAGATAAGAGGTGTTTAAAAATCGGCATGCGTCAAAAAAATGTTATGACAGGTCCCCGAGTGCTTATCAGAGAGTCTAGCAAATATAAGCCGCCTCAACGTATACGTTCACGAACGATCAAGCAATTATGTTTGGCTGATGATTCATCACTTAATACCTACAAATTTTTTTAAGTTTTAAACACTCATTGCACTCATTGAAACGCAAGAACACTTCTTTGTCGGTCTCCCAATTGGACGTATTTCTGTCAAACGGAACTACATGTATGTGCATTATGACGTTAGCCCTGTTACGCACGAATTCTTATGGGTCTCAGGGCTCATGTCATGATGCACATAGTTCCGTTTGACAGAAATACGTCCAATTGATGACACACGATGCCTGTCACGATCGCCGGAGCATCAATGTACTTACGATTCTCATGTTATATAGAACAAAATAAGCAGAATCAAATCAACACATTTTTTCTAGCATCTCTGAGCAAAGTTTATAGTGCGTGTTTTGAATAATACTGTATTCTAATTTTCTTATTTAAATGATAACAATTTGAACTAAAAATTCAACTCGGTAAAATTGTCTGAAAAATTTTATTCAAAATTCAGTTTCACCATGGAGCGTTACACTCTTGCACTTTTTTTCTTTGAGATGCACTCTGTACGAGCTAACCTCTCTGCTTTCCTCTATCCGTATGTTACGCATTCTTCAACAAGAACGCTTTTTGCTTCTCCTATGACGATTTTCGGAACGACAAAAATTCTCAAAGGTCGTATAGTCAAAAAGTTGAGCCATTAGAGGAGCTAAACCCGGTGGCAATGCTATAATCAGTTTTCAGCGAGTAAAAAGTGGGGTTTTTAGGACATAATTGAGTCAACGATGAGTTAAATGGTTATTAAAGAATTAAACTAATTTTAAATCAAATTTTGCAAAGCGCATACGCTTAAAAGTTAAGACTATAGTACTCACTGAAGTGCTGGAAGAATTGGGTGGTATACAAACAAAAAAACACAATAAATGTTTAATAATTTCTCATAGTTAACACAATCCCTTTTTGGACTGATCACTTATTGGATAAAAATGTTTAACCGGGAGCGATTATTCAGACAAGACTGGTATGCAAAGAATCCGAGATGAAAATAATTGCGAACTGGTCCCGCGGCCGGCCGGCGACGCGCCGAAAGACCCACTCCAAAGCATCGTTGCTAGATAATGCATAAAAAATCACAACTTTTTCCATTCAAACCCATGTAAAATATACCTATTTAATTGCACAATCTGAAAACCATGCTCCAAAGCCAAACACATTGGAGTGGAGCAAGGGAGAAGGGAGAAGATACCGTGAGTCATTGCGATAAGCAAACTACGCAATTTACGTCATAATGGGATCTCCACGGTGCGATGCCTCACGTTCTGTAATCGAAAGTACTTTTATTCCCCGATAGATACCGCTACAGAGTGCCAAAGTGCAAAACCACTTATCTCCGTTTGCGACGTTACAGATTTCTTCTCATACTTTATTTATTCATCGAAAATTTGATTTTTCTTCTCTATTAGCAGAATAAACCGTAGATATTTTAAAGCTATATATATGTAGGAAATAGGAGCAGATATTTAGAAGAACCGCAATGAAGATACGTGGTTTTGCACCGTGGCTTTTCATATGTAGATTTTGTTCTGGTATCAATTAGACAAATGCTGTATTATTATATCATTCAGCTCATCTAAGTTAGATTAGACAAATGTCGAAAGAAAAGCTAGACGACCTGTCATTAATTTGAAATGCAATCCGTGTCAATGGCTAAAGAGCGAAATTACGTATTTCCACTGAATAAAACTACACGTAAAAAATCGTATAACAACCAAGTTTTTTAAGTGATGAATGGATTCAAAACCCGACGGGTGCACTCAAAAGAAAGCGTATATTTATCTCTGATTGCAACGTTGTGCAGCACTTGATGTTACATTTTTAATAAATATTTTTTAAAGAGCTACACACAGTTTTTCTAAAAAGTTTCTACAAATTTACCTAAATGATATAAAAAAAGAATAATGATACGAATAAAAGTATCGAATATTTCGACGCGGTATTTTCGTTTGTTCTATTTACTTTTAATGTAACCAAAATAAAAATTAAATATCATCAGAGTTTCTGAATAGTTACAATGAGGATACATATTTTCCCTTTAATTATGGTAAACACGGGAACAGAAAGTCAAGAATGATTACTCGCAGTCCTACAGCATTCCTATAGTCTTGCAGCGCTAATATGCGTATAATGTAAATATACGCCAACTGACCGACTGCGGTGCGTTTGGCGCAATGCGAGAAGTATTCATGCAGTCTTGTAGGGGCTATTATGGGCTGTGCGCCGACCGTACTGTTTGGCGCAATGCGTGAAGTACTCCTGAAGTCATGCAGGCGCTAATGTACGTTCACCGCTGGCCGCACTGTGTTTGGCACGCTTATTCTAACTCGCATTAGAATAATTAGAGGGCATATGTTGCGTTTCGACTTCGTATGAGCATTCCAACGTTGCCTCGTTTCTCCCGATTAAAAAATTTTCCGAGAGAAGTTAGGAAAGTTCTTCATACCCACGACCATTTTTCAATCTATTCACTGCATCTATCATCAGAGGGCAAGACATTGATGACTTGTCAAGAAACCAACCTAAACTAGCATTGACATACAAATGCGTTTATTTTCCAACCGTCTCCTGTTTTGCCAAACTTCTACCTTAAATTAATTTTATTTTAAATTCGCGCATTCCTGTAGCAGATGCTAAGGTTTTTGTTCGCGCAATCGTTGTGCCTTTTGCGCGCAATCTTCATATGTTTTCTTAGACCTTATGCGCAATCCTGGATTACCGTGCTGGTCGAAAAATTAGGCCATAATGGATTTTCTTTTTCCAAATTTCGATGTAAAATCTGAACGAACCTTGAATGATATTTTTGCCACCCACTTCTTGTTAGTTTTTTCGATCTGGCTTACATTTTGCAATAAGGAACCACTATTTCTGGCCTATTATAGAAACAACATACATGCCATTGGTTTCCCTATCCAGATAAGTGTATTTATGGGAGAGTCAGAGACAGCACTGGTAAAAAAAAAAAAAACCTCTTGGTTCAAGAGTGCAGTTTCTTGTTGCCGGATTTAAGAGTCTGGACTCTTGTTTCAATGCAAAATCCGCTTGAAACAAGAGTTCAAGACTCTTGAATCCGGCGACAAGAAACTGCACTCTTAAGTCAAATGCAATGCGGCATTGGTCCAAGAGGTTTTTTTTTTTTTTTTTTTTTTTTTTTTTTTTTTACCAGTGAGTGCAAAATGTAATTTAGATCAAAGAAACTAACAAGAAGTGGGTGGCAAAAATATATCATTGATAAAAATTTGATGAAAAATAATAGCATTTTGAATAAAAAGTAAAGTATGGTAGGAAGTCTGCGACGTTGCAACCTGGAGATACCTTACGAACTTTCGTCATCGATATTTTTTATTTCCAAATTTTTTTTTTTTTTTTTTTAGTTCCTGGGTTAGGCACATATCAAATCAAACTTTTAATTACAGAAGCAACCTCATGGTAAGAAACGGGAAACAACGCACAATGTCGCACCGACGAGATCTTGGGGCGCGAAAGCGACTAACTGCAGCGCGGCGGTTGGTCGTCCGGCGAACTAATTTCCCGACCGGGCAGAGCTCCCGGGGCCCCCACTCGAGGCACACGGAGCAACACACGAAAGAATAAAGAAAGCAGAAATCCCCCGAGAAGGAGGCAGCGGCGAGCGCCTAGGAAGGGGGAGTCAATGTTTTGCTGATTGGGAGTCGCGGGCTCAGTTCCGACCTAACCTCAACTCTCGCGACCCAGTCTCGTACCGCACCGCGCCGCGCCGCTTTCGACCCGCGAAACCCCGACTCGATGCGATACCCCGCGTAATTTGTTTTTGAAAAAAAATTGAAATTTTGGCTTTTTTATTTAGTTTCTTTTCGATTAAATTTGCTTACGTATGCGGATCTTTGTATGTATGCCAGTTACGTGAGAATGATGACGTGAGTGTGAATAGTTTTTTAATTTGGATTGGGTTTAACTGAAAGGAATCAAATTCTTAGAGAAACAAGATACCTGCTTGTTGTGAAATTTTAATTTTTTTTTTTTTTTTGTTCCAAAATTTTATTTTTACGAAACTGGAAGAGTTTGGTATCTGTCTCTGTGGTCATAAAAAAGTCATATAAACTATAAAAATCATCATTTTTTAAATATTTAATAAGTTGGCTCTCCTTTCCTGAATGAAAATGAAGCCAAACCAATTCAGAGAGAGGAGCCAAAAAGCAAAGTCGGCTCTCTCTTTTGGATTTCCTATAGGTGAAATCGATTTGAAGAGAAATATAAATAGCACAGATAGTAATGTTCACTAAGTTCTGCTTAGCAACCGATGAGTATAGATTCCTTGTTTTCTAACAAAAACTGACCCCTTCTTTTTGAACTCCATCGAGTTTATAAGGAAGCTCGAAAAATTGTAAAAGGTATCTAAGAGGAAACAAAAAAATCCTGTAAACACCAATTCCAACCTAAGAAAAAATTGTCTCTTATACTATAAAATCCACTAAACTAGAAAAAAAGGAACTTTTCCTATCTTTTCTTTTACTATTTTTCTTTTTTTCATGGTGAGATATGTAAACGCAATCAGTTTTGTTCAATGGTTTAATCAGTTCATAATTTCAAAGATTTTTTGTGTTTCGTCCCTAAAGTTCCACGTGTGTCATTACTCTTATTTCCATGATAAACAATTTACTCATTGCGTCTCTCCTGTGGCGTGAGGCCGTATCTACAATTCCACATGAGCCTTGAAAAGTATGGAGATATATGGACAATAGGAGTCACGTGGAAATTAAGATACGCCCTACGTTAGAGCAGTGACGACTGTTCCATGGATGAAACTATGAAAGGCATCACCTACAAACATCCGTTCTTACGTACGTAAATGGTCCTCAACCTCAACCTTTCTTAATTTTGGATTTCTCTTAGAATTTAACCGCGCTGATTGTGATGTGAGTGATTGTGATAAGCATACACATGAGCTTCTAACAGTTTTGTGAACTCCATAAAGTGCCATGGCCGAAAACGGATACAAACCAGCTGTTTCTACGGCTCAAACAACTACTGTGAGCACGATTGCTGTTCAAAGTGGTGACACAAACATCGTCATCGCATTACTTAAAGTAAGTGCCTATCATTGTTAAAGAAAAACCTATGGCTGCCTAAGACACAATACTCATTTATTTTAAGTTGTCTCATGTCTCAAGTTAAGTCTCGTTCAAGTGGGGTTTGAAAAATGATACCTAATGTTTTTGGAATGTATGTAAAGAAATGTTTCTTGTCATTTCTTCAACCTATTCACGATAAAAGTAACACTCGGATGCAACTAATATTGCTCGACGGATGTCCGTGATGTATCCACGCAAAATGAAGGCGTCTTGGGTTTCCTCGCCTTCGCAGCAATATACCCCTGAGTTGTACCGTTCTGCGTGAGAGATATTTCTCTGATGAGGAGAGTATGAAACCCATTTGGAAGGCTGCGTATATACCTTCAGACTTGTCACACATGCGAACCTTAAAGATCAATGAACTTATTACTGCCTTTCACGACTCACCTCGTTTTATTAGACTTGAAGGATCATCATTACCAATTTGCAGTGGAGAAACAAAGAAAATGCAGAAAAAAATGCAGGAACCTGACCTCTCTTTCATTCTCCTCTTCGTATTCTTCTTTTTTTCTTCCAGGTGTGTGAATGGCCTCTGGTGTATGGGTTTATTTTTACAATCTTGCAAAGATCAACCCATTCTACTTCACCAATACCTCTTTTTTTTCTGTCCCCTTTTCTATTCCTTTTAACAAAATGAATCTTCACAACTATACAACATTAAAAATCGACGCAATTTTTTTTGTACCTTCAAGTATCCGGATCGCTAAAAATTTAGGAATGAGACTTTACCTCTTCAAGTGAACCACAATTTCTCCATTTTACGGACTACCAAAATTTTTCGAGTACATACAACTCAGCCATTTTCAAAATTACTATAGGGGGCAAACGCGCCTCAGGCGTTATTCGTAACGCGTTACTTATATGATTTTATATCATGGAGTAAGGTTAACAAGCCATGTCTTGTAAACACCGGCATGAACTTTCGTCAAATTAAGACTCGCATCAACCTGCTACGTGTTTTGTACGTAGGAATAACTTTCCATGCGTCAATTTGCAAAACCCATTTTGCCAATTTGCTAATATTACATGTTCTTTCTCCATTAGAAATTATGTAAATCAGTCAAATTTAACCGACTAAAGTGACAACGCCACTCTGATCATCAAATTCTTGGTGTTGGTTTATTTTTCCCGTCAAAGTGAACTGTTTGTAAACATGGCTACTGAGTTGTTTTCTCTGGCGCGAATGCCTCAAAATCCTCCTCCTCTCGCTTCGTCTTGAGGCAGACTGCGAGTAAGAAACAACACGTGTGGCTTTGATCAGGATGAACTTTACTTCAGGATGCCAGCAGATTTAAAACGAAAGTGGATGAACTTTTGTCCCAGTATGAAGATTTTTACACGTCTAAAACTTATCAATAAGAATGGTGATTTCAACCCTTTACCGTATAACCAAGCAAAAAGTGAATTTTTTCTTGTTTACATTGCTTTTGAATCTGACAGAGTGTAAAAACGAGAAAAGTAAGCATCTTCATTTTACCTACGTACAAAAAATGATCGCTGCTGGTAATTTTATTCCTAGAGCTTCAAAAATGTTTCTTGTGACAATCGAAGAATGTTCTTGCCGTTGTTGGGTTCTTGCCTTTTTGGGTAAGCACACAATTACAGATGCGCTGTGATTGCATTAGACAAATGTCTGAGGGTAGGACTTTGAGAAGTAGACAAACTTAAAGTATAATTAGAGTAAATATTTGCGGAAAATGGAGCGGAAATTTTAAAACACCGCAACCAACCGCACACAAATACGTGGTTTCGCACTTTCGTCATCGATTTACAATGATCGGACCAACTATTTCAAAGTTCGACGAGGCTTAAAAAGTTAGGGCACAAGCATACAAAGAAAGTGCACACGCCTTCATTATTTCGTCACGTCTTCCGGGCAAAGTATATCACAAGCGCCTTGCGACGTTTAAAAATTTCCGCCTCCATTTTATTTTTTTACGGAGAAATTTTTGGTTGAATCGTTTTGAAATTTCACCGAATTTTCTTTACGCTGCCGATACAATTCAGTGAAATTTTCGAACACATTCAACCGACAATTTCTCTGTAAAAAAATAAAATGGCGGCGGAAATTTAAAAACGCCGCATGGCGCTTGTGATACTTTGGCCGGAAGGTGACGAAATAATGAAGGCGTGTGTACTTTCTTCGTATACTTGTGCCCTACTCTTTAACTCCTGCTCAAATAATTGCAATTTTCTTTGGATCAATCTCGGGTCAAATTCTGAAATATTCGGTTCAAACATTGTACATATTGCATGGTGCTTGTAATAATTTGGCTGGAAGGTGACGAAATAATGAAGGCGTGTGTACTTTCTTCGTATACCTACGTGTGCCCTACTCTTTTTACTCCTGCTCAAATAATTGCAATTTTCTTTGGATCAATCTCTGGTCAACTTTTGAAATATTTGGTTCAAACATTCTACATATTGCATGGTGCTCGTAATAATTTGGCCGGGAGGTGAAGATTTAAAGCCGATCTAAGCGGCAATGGTGACCTTCCACCGCTTGATGTTCTCACTTTTCTCTTAATCGCGCCTCTGCCTCAACCGGAATCGCTTGACCGGGGCCAAAGCCCTTCCGGAGTGAATTCCGAGACTCCGGTGCCGGAATCGAGCGGCGCAGCGCTTTTTTAGCTGCCCACCGATTTCGAGTCCTCTCCTCCCCCTCGGGGAGCCCCAGTTTGCGTAATTACGGTACATCTGTTTATGGAGCCGAGCTAAATACCGGTATTCGGTACCACCGCGCGACCATGCATGATCCCCACATGGAGACTCGACTGGGCCGCCGCGCCGCGCCGGGCCCCGTGGACTTGTCGGGTCACGCCAAGAAAAGTTTACTGAACCTACTAGAGTGCTTCACGCAATTCCCAACGGGAAAAAATTTACGACGCGTGAAACTACCAATTAACCACGTCGCAATTTTTTTCCCCCTTTTTTTACCAGTATTATTATTCATATGGTTGTCAGTAATGCCAATTGAGCAGACTCGTCTCCTTGTGCTTTTCCGGGTCACCGGTAACTCTAGGATCTACCCCCCCCCCCCCCCCCNCAAAAAATTTCTCTCCCCTCTGGCTCTGTTTGTAGAATTAAACTCCACACTGGAAGAAAGAACACATTGGATCTAGAGTCCAGAGTCTTGAAAACGTTGACAAGAAAAAATACTCTTGACTCAATCGGATTTTTGCTTGAATCAAAACGGAATCCGCTTGAATTAAGAGGCTTGGCTCTTGATTTAAGCTAGATTCTGATTGAATCAAGAGTACTTTTTCTTATCGATGTTTTTAAGAGAGTCTGGACTCTAGATATATTTTCTTTTTTTGCAGTGCATTTTGAGGAATTTCATCGTGAATCTCACAAAAACCACAATTATTTGTGCTCATTTGTGAAATTTTTGCTCGATGTTTTCGTTTTCAACGTTGACTCTTCTTCCGCTTCCACATCAGGCTCCCTAAAAGTGTATGCAACTCAACGAAGAAGGGAGTTCGTTTAGTGATGTTTTTACTTCGGGCTCGATAAAATTTTAAATTTCAACTCCTCTAAATCGCGATTTGAGGAGTATTTCCCGCACAGATTTAGAGGCGCGACGATGGGGAGTAAGAGGGCCGGGCCCCTCGCAGCATTAACTGTAAGCCAATGGGAAACAACGGGAAATACCATGGTTAAGGAAAAATTAAAAAGTATATGCCGGAGTTAGAAGGCGGGAAAACGCTGCAGTGCAGGCTCCTGCCCCTCGCCTTGTAGTGCGGGCCCCAAGGCGCGCGCTTCGCTCGAAAGGTAAATCCGGCCCTGATTCATCTATCCAAAAGAAAGTTAATTTAATTCTGAGTGGTGAAGTCCTGCTAGAGGTCTTTACCGTCACTAGGAGACTAGAAAGAGTGTCTAATTTTTTCTGAGCCCTATCTCGAAATGTGGCTTCCGCATAATATTTTGTCGAGTGTTGGAGTGCGGCTTCTGATTCAACCGTTTTCAAGACACTTTTGATTGATTTCATATACATTTTTTGCTTTTTAAGCACCGCACGCACGGGTTGACGAGACCTTTAAATGCGCTAAGGCCTTTTTTTCAACGGAAAGTGGGAAATGTCTTCCAGATGTGCGGAAATGGGGCAAAGTGGCGGACTCAAATCGGAAGCAGACGTCAAAGCGTGTTGCAACGTTTTCGCCGAAGACGCCGCGTGGCCGGCCGGGTAGCCGCGACCCGGCTTTCTCCGGCCGCCATCCACGCTGCCGATCTGCCCCGTAATTCCACGCTCCTCTGACGTAGGGGCGTATTTCGATTTCCACCTGAGCCCTGTTTCCCGTATAAATCCATAGTTTCTGGGGCTCATGTGGAAACCGAAATACACCCCTACGTCAGATCAGCGACGAATTATAGCGCTGTCGTGGAAAATTTAATTTCAGACGGAGCCACATGGGTGTTTTTAAGCCTCCAAGAGGGGCAATTTCAGGCGGAGCCACATGGGTGTTTTAAAGCCTCCGAGAGGAGCCTTGTTCCCTTAAAATTTAAAAATGGTATCATGTGACTCCCCTCCCCCTTTAAAATTTGCATAGTAAAAAATATGCAGGAAATAAATACACAGGGTGATCTAGGATTAAACGGCCAGACTGCAGGAGCGTGTTCTATGGGTCAAAATAAGACTTTTTTGGTATGAAGTTTTTTTTCCCAGAAGTGCCCCCAGTCGGAGCTACCCCCCTCCCCTTCCAAAACAAATTTGAAAATTAAGTCGTTTTATACCTGGATTTTGGCGACGGTTGAGAACCAAATCTCATGAAAATTTGGATTCTCCTGTACTTTTATGCCCTGAATCCATAAATGATGTAAAACAAAATCAAAATCTCAATTTAAAGAGGGGGTTTGGGGGTATTTCGCCTCCTGCAGTCTGGCCGTTTAACCCTAGATCATCCTGTATAGGAGACGAATGGTACGCCCAGTGAAAGGGTGGTGACAGGGGGTTTCAG